TGTTTTGTTTATCAATTTTATGCATAATATGTGGCTATAAAACCATATATATCTCTTAAGTAACTACAAATCATTGTTATTTAAAGCCAACAAAATAGCATAAGTTTTAAGTTCAATAATGTTAAGTATTGTATAGAAATATATTGAAGGTAAAGTTCAGTTAATGAAATTGTGTATATGTTATTGATGCTGTAAATTATTTTTAATAAAGAAAATTGTATTATCACACTTGACTCATGTTGTAGTAACTTAGAGTAAAACATCATGACTTTGGAAATGAAATGCTATCCAGAAATTAGAACATGCTTAATAAGAATATAATGTTCAGACTTTGTTCATTCCCAACATAACATCCAGCATGTGAAACAGTTAATCTTGCCTCTGTATCTCTATGCTAAGACTTAAGAGAATGACAGTAAATGAATTTAATTCAAGGAGTGTTCCAACAAGTAGTCAAGTTATGGAGTCAGGTTATTAGTTATTAGTGAAAGACTAATCTGACCTAAACAGGGACCTATTATCCATACACAGTCAGGCAACTTAACACTCAAGTGATGGAGACTGAAGTTTAGGTGTTTAAAAACTATGTTTTTCACCAAGCTTGGTGTTGCATACCTGTAATTTCAGTACTTAGGAAGCTGATGCAGGAGGATTGATTGATTTAGTTGAAGGCCAGCCTGGGCTAAAGCTAAGGCTACTTACTGTGGCAAACACCTTGTTTCAAAGACAAAGTTTTTTAAGCTGAAGTCTCCTGTTTATAGCTGATATTCACTGATTCTCTTTCTCCCTAATCTGTCTGTTCCTCATTTGTATAACTAATTTTAATACATATCCTGTATAAATTGCACCTACTAGAAATGGCATCGCATATCACCTTCATACCATAGGTCCTTGTTATGGTAATAACATTTAGGACAGAATTGGAGAGCTGATTGATAAGCTCTCTGAATTGTGTATTACAGGAGGTAATGGCCTTGATGTAGCACAGTGGTGTTGTATCTTCTGGAATCTTCACACTGTAGATCCTGTTAATGGTGTCACTCACCCTGCTACAATTTTATCGATATTTTTGCAAAACGAGTCATGTACAGGAACTAGGACCACAGCGCTAAAGCAAGGTTTTGAAAAATGGTCAGCTTCCCACTGATTGGAAAAGATCATCCTGGGGTTAGGGTTTAGGGCAGTTGTAGGTCACATGCCTAGCAGGATCAAGGCCTTGTATTCAAACCCCCTGTGTTGCCTCCCCCAAAAGCCCCTATTCCCACTGTTAGTAGCAACCTAAGTGATTAATTAAAACGGCATTCAGGGCTGGAGAGATGTGTAGCATGATTAATAAAAACCCAGAGAAAGATATTGGGTTTCAAACTGAAGATCAGAAAAACGAAGCAGCCAACCACTGTAGAGTTCTTAACCACTACCAAGGCTCAGACCAAAGAGGGATGATCCCAGAGACTGCAGACTGCGGACTGCAGTGCTCCCCACCAAATCTCAGACTCTCTAGTGCTGGGATTAAAGCCGTGTCATCCCAAGTACTGAGATCAAAGGTGTGAGCTGTTTCTTTTTTTTTAGACTGATTAATCTCATGTATCCCAGAAAGGGTGGCCTTGAACTCACAGAGATCAATCTGCCTCTGTCTCCCAAGTGCTGGGATTAAAGGTGTTCCATCCACTGCCTGTCTTCAGTGGTGGTTCTGGGTGTGTGTTTGTGTCTGTGTCTGTGTGGCTTAGCTCTGCACTCTGATCTTCAGGCAAGCTTTATTAGATTACAAACAAAATTACACTACATTGATGGCTCAGAGATTAAAAGCATTGACAGTTCTTCAGAGGTCCTAAGTTCAGTTCCCAACAACCACAAGGTAGCTCACGCCATCTATAATAAGATCTGATGCTCTCTTCTGGTGTGTAGGCAGAACACTATATATAATAAATAATCTTGATATCCAAAGGCTAAAATGGTCACAATTTCAGATTCGAGGATAGTATTACAAAAGCAAATACCAACATAAGCACATCCTGATAGTTTGAGTATCCAGACTTCATGGAAACAACAGCCTTGGAGCACTTATCACTTGATACCAGTTGTGCTTCCTAATTACCAACCACTGCTAGTCTTGCTGTTTTGAGGAGAGTTGTTTGGATAAATTTTACAATCTAGACTGCACACTGGTGTTCAGGATATGTTTGGGCCACATATAACATTTCAGTCAATGACAGACCACATGTAACCAGTTCATAAAATGGCACCCAGTAGCCGTTTGAGTTTGTTTGATTACATTGACATTTGCACAATGAGGTCACCTAAGGATGCATTTCTCATAACATGTCCCATCAGTAGCATATTAGTACCTGAAAAATGAATCATCTGTTGCAAAAGCAGAGGTATATGTATTCACTGTGTTGGCACTAAACTTTGCCTATTATGTAAAGGAAATACAAAACTGTAAGATTGCACCAGTGAGATGGCTCAGTGGGTAAAAGGTGCTTGTTGGAAAAGCCTAGTCACACAAGTTCTATCTCCAGAGCCATGCAAAGGTGAAGGAAAGAACTGACTCCACAAGATGCCTATGACCACCTAGTCCTAGAACATGCTTTGTAGACCAGGCTCTTCTCAAACTCAAAGAGATCCACCCACCCCCACCCACCCCCCGTCTTCCTAATGCTGGGATTAAAGTGTGTGCCATCATGCTCAGCTTTAATATATTTTTTAAACTACAAGATTATGTTTTCTAGAACACATTCTCTGTTGAACCCAAAGCGTTATACATGCGAAATACTGAGCTGTGACATTGAGTCAAACAATACAAAATCGTGTAATTCTACAAATTGTTTCTGTTTCACATTGGAGGTGTTTGTGTGTTATCACACACACACATGTATATTAAAATGTCCAGTGTTGAGGGAAAAATGGTTTGGCAGCATACATTAGGAATCTTAGAAGACTGAATAGTTCATCCTAAAGACACTTTGAAGTACACAAAAGTTGGGCAAGGTGGTGCATACCTATCAGAACTTGGAGGTGGCAACAGGAATCCAGCCTGGGCTACATGAGATTGTCTCAACCAAAATCTTAAGATGTACAAAAAGTGTATGTAATAAGATACCCTTAAAATGGGAAAATATCTACTTAAAGTGAAAATGGCAAGTTGCAGAAAGCATTTTTTCCCCCTGGTTTTTCTCCTCTACAACAGGGTTTCCTTATGTAGTCCAGGCTAGCTGCCCTCAGAATCCTGCCTCAAGCTCTCAGGTGCCATTACACACCCATCACTATACCAGGCTATGCTTTTCTGAAGAATATCCCAGGAGATGGCTCAGTTTAAGAGGCCTTGCTGTCCAAGTCTGAAGACCTGAGTTTGGATCCTCAGAACCCATGTAAACAGCCAGACATTACTGTGCATTTTTGCAACCCTCGTGCTGGGTCAGGGAGTGATGGGATGAAAGGATCACTGGAGCTTTCTGAGTGCCAGTCTAACTGAAAAAATAATGAGCTCTGGGTGAAAGACCCTTCCTCTGGGGAATAAGGCAAAGATCAGTTACCAGAAAGGCCTTCACATCCTTTTCATCAGTGTGTGTGCATGGAAACATGCATACCACAGATGTACACACAAGCAAATGGAACATCCAAAGAATGGAAATGGCTACAAACCAAAGAAGGTGATTGTGGATTCTGTTGCCCTGCGCCTTCAGTTCTCACAATTTTTATTTTCAATCCTCATTCCCATTTTTTTTTCATCCTATGAGAAAGAAAATGAACCAGTAAAAGTAGACTAGTGAGAGGTGGGAAGAATTCAGATATTGCAGAGGAACCTTAGAAAGCCCACAAGATTCCATTTCTGGTTACAGGAAATCCAAGCCAAAGTCACTGACATCCTAAAGTGCACAAAAACACCCTTGCTACTTGAAGATTAGAAATGAAACAGATAAGATCCATTTATCTAAAGGAGGGGAAAACTGTTTCTCCTGACGGTTGGTGGGGATTGGGGAGAACATCCAAGTTAACAAGGAAATCAGAGTAACTATCAAACTCGTGAGTGTGCCCTGACAGGGAAAAAGTGGGATGTGCATACACCAAAACTACATAAGGAGACCAAATTTGCAAACCCGAGTGACAGATGTACAGGACTCTTCCAGGAGAGTGCTCTGACCTATTAGGGAAGTCCCGCTTAGCTGGAGAAGGGCATCCGGTCTTGTGTCTTGTCCCAGAACCCCAGGCAAGCTCTTGAGCACTTTCCCGTTGACTTAACTACCCTACCTCGATAGGGATTCTAACCCAACTGCCAGCTCTGTTCCTCGGTATAAAAGACCTTCATCACCCCAGATCCGAACCGTGATGCTTACAGCCCAGTTGACGTCGCTTTCTCTTCCTCCGCTGTACTGAGTTACACCTAGCTTGAAAACGGGTGCGCTGAGGCCGAGGTCCTGAACCACGGTCTGATTGCTCTGTGCACTGTAGACTTCGGTTTTCCCGCCAGCACAGACAGTGTAGGTCTGTTTATACAGTCGTTTCGGGTTGAAGCATTTCAGTACCTAGATAGCGAGCCGGTTCCCTTAGAGAGGGGGACTGACGCTTGCGGTTTCAGGACCAGGATTCCCTTCTAGGGAGAATGCAGCTCTGGCCGCACTTTATGAAGATGGCTTCCAGGATACGCGCTTCCAGAAAGATTGGGAAGGAGTAAGGAAAGAAAGCCAAAATGCGAACTCTCAGAAGGCAGCTTTCTGACAGACGTGCTCCAAGTATCTGCCGGGACTAAGCAGACCCGTTCAGAATTGACAGATGCCGCTCAAAGGCCCCAAAGCCTACTAAATGGCTACTCGAGGGCCAATCAGAAACAAGAGTTCCGAATCCTGACTAGAGAGCCGAAACTGACAGGTTCGTCGGGTTGCAGACAGCCAATCAGAAGCTGGGTCTCTGAATTCTGTTGGGGGCGGAGGAAGGGCTGGGTATGGGCGGTCAGTAGCGTGCGCTGATTGGTCGGCGGAATATGGGCGTGGCCAATAGGAAGGTGGGGACAACGGCACGGTCTGGCCGCGTCCCCGACACCGCAGCGTCTTGCTTGCTGAGCGAGGAGAGCGGGTCGGTCGGTCGGCCTTGGGAGGTCCAGTCGCGGCGGGTGAGCCGAGATGGGGGAGGCTGAGATGAGCCCGGGGTCTCCGTGACGGGACGTCCCTGAGAGCGGGCGGCGGGCTCCTGCTGCCCTCGCGCTCCTCACACTCGCTGCTTGTTGACCTGGCAGCTGTCTGTCCAGCCCCAGGCGGGCTGGCATCTCAGAGCGCAATCTCGAGGGTCCCACCCTCCTTGGGCCTGCACGGTCCGGGGTGGAAGCCATCCCAAAGGCTCCCCTGGACCTAACCGGCACAAGGCCGGAACCCGGCTGTGGGTCACCTCCCTTCATCGCTGTCTTTTCTCTGCAGTTAGACCCACTGGAGCAGCGGGAAGTGCTGCTTCCAGTCGCCCTTGGAAAACTTCTGTGTAGAGTCCCTGCAGCCTGTGAACTGTGTGAGTGGTGGCAACCACTGTCTCAGCGAACAGATGTAGGGAATACAAGTGCCTGCTTCACAGCCTTGGGAAGGCATAAACGGGTCCCTGAAGACCGACTTGGAAGAAGCGCTAGGTCAGAGTTCACGAGACTTTGTAACACTTTAGGAGAGGATGAGAGGAAAGACTGGTTTCTAGGGTTTTGCTGTTTTGTTTTGTTTTGTTTTGTTTTGTTTTGTTTTGTTTTGTTTTTCTGGTGTACCTTGCACAAAGTGCGGAGTACAAGGTTCACTCCCTCTTCATTCCCCTTTCGTTCAGCAAAGATTATGGAGTATGGCGCCAACCTCCCTTACTGTTTGAGGGATTTTTTTTCGGGAGATAAATATTGTTGAAAAGAAGTACACTAACACCTATATAGGATTTAGATTCGCCCTCCATCCTCTACACACTCGTTTGGTTATAATGGAAATCTCTGGAAAAAAAAAACATTTCTTTGTGTGCATTTACTTTCAGTAGCAGGTTTCAGTGTGTGCCTTTTCTCTCGTGATGTGGAGTTCTTCGTGTGTACAATGAAAAGGCAAATATAAGCTAAAACAGGAACTTTTAACAGCTTAGAGACTGGTGCCAGAAGGGACTTTTAGAGATGGCGTGGCTGAACTCTTAGAGGCCACGTGACTGGAGTTTCAGAGATTGGTAGCCCATCTGGCTCTGGAACAACTGTCTGCAGCTCAGCACCTGGTTAGCACACCAGGTTGCTTTGTAACCAGACCTGCCAATAATACCTTGCCCTGCTTTAGCTCTGCAGAAGGATGCTTAACAAACCCCATTTAAGGTCATGGGAACGTTTTCTGGGGATCGGCCTTCACTTATTGCCTTTAATAGTCTTTTCAAAAAAAAAAAAAAGAACTTTTTCTTTTTGAGACAAGTCCACTGCCGTAGCAGGGCTAGACTGGAACTCAGTAGGTATTCCAGACTGGACTTTAGTAAGCAGCAGTCTTTCTGTCCCTGTCTCTGGAATGGTGAGACAACAGATGTGTGCCACCACACCCAGCTCCCTATCAAATTCCTATCAAGTTCAACACTATTTTAATACCCTTAAATACTTTTGGAGTTGAAAGGATTTCATCTTGGAGTTAAAGGGCTTCAGTTCACATTACATTATGAACACTGGTCTTATATATGTTCAGAAAGAATGTTTAAAATTCCTTGTAAAGTCTTAAGGCCAAAAGCAATGTGACAGAAGTTTCAGGTGCAAAGATTGTTTTGAAATCCTGTTTATTTAATCTTAGTGACAATATGTTTAGTGAACAAAACCTGAAGAGCTTAATTTGCTTTCTGAAAGCAAACACTAGAGTCAGAAGGTAAACATGAGAAGTGAGAAGGGATTGTCAAGAATACAATTTAAGCTGGGCGGTGGTGGCACATGCCTTTAATCCTAGCACTGGGGGGGGGGGGCAAAGGCAGTCAGATATCTGTGAGTTTGAGGCCAGCCTGGTCTGTCTGGTCTATAGAGCAAGTTCCAGGACAGGTTCCAAAGCTACACAGAGAAACTCTGTCCCGAAAAAACCAAAACAACAAAAACACAACTTAGCTGGAGACTTAGTTCACTTGGTAGGATGCTTGCCTAACATGTATAAGGCCCTGATTTTGATCCCCAGCACCAAATAAGCCAAACAGTGGTACATACTGTACTCTCAGCTTTTGGGAGGTAAAGGCAGGAGGATCAGAAGGTCAAGGCTATATGATGAGTTCAAGACTACCCTATGCTCCATGAAATTTGTCTCAAAAAACAAAATCATAAAAGAATGCAACAATTTAGAATTATAGGCACATACCACCAAGCCTGGCTTTTTATGGTTGCTGTGGATGCAAACCTCATGCTCACATATTGGTCACTTTACCCTGTGAGCCACCTTCCAAGCCCCCAGAGCTGAGTTCTCAATGGAACTTAGTACTGGTTTTGGACACATCTCTTAATTTCTTTGGACCTACATTCCCATCTAAAGTTGGTCGACAAGAGGAAGGATTGAATTAGATGATAACAAAAATGCCTCTGTGACCTGTGTTTGTCCTTAGAACTTTACCTTCAATTTGGGAGGGAAATTTAAAAATGATTTATAACACAAGAATTCAATTGCCAACACATCTGTTTCTGTTTTGTTTTATTTGAGACAAGGTCTCCCTATATAGTCTGGCCACCCTAAAACTTGCTAGGTAGACCAAGCTGGTCTGGACTGAAAACAGTCCTACAGCCTCTGCCTTCCAAGTGCTGGGATTAGACACATGGGCCATTATGTCATGATAGAACATCAACTTGTTTTTCTTTTAAAGATTATTTTCATTTTTAAATGTCTCTGCATAGCTATGGTGAACATGTAACTGCAGATGCCTACAGAATCTAGAAAGGGGTGTCAGATCCCCGTGGAGTCAGAGTTACGGGTGAATATGAGCCACTCACTGTGAGTGCTGGAGACCAAACTCAGATCTCCTCAAAGAGCAACGAGTGCTCTTAACTGTGGGGCCACCTCTCCAGCCCTGGGACATCTTCATGATCTTATTCAGTAATTTGATCTTTTTAACTTTATAAATAAAAATCTAGAAGCATAGACTCACTATAGAGAGTCTGTCTTGAGTGGTCTGTCTTGAGAATAATGATTCAAATAAATATCCATCATTGTAATATGTCTCTCTTCTGGCTGTTATTTTTCCCCTAGACATAATGTCAAGTGGAGATGGCCTGCCGTCCCAGACTTCCAACAAGCCCACTTTTACTGAGATACAAGCCTCTGCACTGGTAGAATCAGTATTTGGGTTCAAAGTTTCTAAGATCCAGCCACTCCCTAGCTATGATGACCAAAACTTTCACGTTTGCATTTCAAGAACCAAAGACTCTACAGGTGACCCCGTCGAGTATGTCCTCAAAATAAGCAACACAGAGTCTAGCCAAACTCCAGACCTGATTGAAATGCAGAACCATGTCATCATGTTTCTGAGAGCAGCTGGATTTCCAACACCCTCTGTGTGCCGAACTAAAGGGGACAACACAATCTCGCTCATGTCCATTGGTAAGAGATCCCTATACCATCATATTACTGCATTTTGGCTACAGGCTTGGAAATGATTTGAGTTGAGATCTAGTATAAATTCAAGTTTTCTGTTTATAAATGTCCTGATAAATAGTAACTGAGGGACCTGTGAAAATCAGGAGGACATGTTCTGTTCTTTCTTAACACAAAAAGATTGTATGTGTTGCTGGGGATCGAACCCAGATCCTTACATATGCAGGCTCTCATCTGTGCAACTCGAGCCTTTTTAAAATTTGTATTGCTCCTAAAGAATAGATAAACAAGAGAAAAGAAGATGGTGAAGACCTCACACTTTAAAAAAATCCCAAGAAACTGATCTCAAGCTGCTGCTTACTGAGGCACACCTCAGCACTCTTTAAAGGGAAAGGCTCAAGTCCCACAGATGAAAACCTGCAGCCTTGCGTTTAATGCTGTGCCTGAGGTCACATACATAGTAATGACAACCCAGCTTAAAATGCCTGGTTGCTTGCTTCCTGTCCTTCCTACTACACCACAATACCAGCATATGCAACCAGTCTAATAAATAAAAACACATACTTGAGGGTGGAGAAGTGGTTTTGCCGAGTGCTTGCTTAGCATGTACTCTATTGTTTTTTCAAGAATGATTGACAGGATGCGTCATTTCTTCAATCCAGATAGTGGATCTGAAATCAAAAGCTACTTGGTGAGAATGCTCACTTACCTCCCAGGAAGACCCATAGCTGAGGTTGCCATCAGCCACCAGCAATTATATGAAATAGGAAGGCTAGCTGCCCAGTTGGATAAAACATTGGAGGTAAGATTTGGGGTCTTATTTTGTTTGTAAGGGATTTTTGTTTGTTTATGTTTTGTTTTGTTTTGTTTTGTTTGCTTTGAGATAGAATCTCACTGGGTAGCCCTGGCTGGCCTGGAACTCACTATGTAGACCAAGCTGACCACAGAGATCTACCTGCCTCTGCCTTGAAAGTGCTGCGTTAAAATGCACCACCATGTCTGGCTAGCCATGAGAATCTAATGAACAATATGCTTTATTTATCTATATTCTTTGAGACAGGTCTCTTAAAGTACAGGGTGGCCTCAAACTCACTGTATAGCCAAAGATTACCTTGAACTTCTGATCCTCCTGCCTCTATCTCCTGAGTAATGGAATTATAGGCATGTACCACCACGCCTAGTTTATATGGTCCTGGGGATTGAGCTTCCTGCATGCTAGATAAGCACTCCACCAATTGTGCTGCCTCCCCAGCATATTTATCCATCTTTTATTCTTGAGGTCTAGCACTGTACATGTGACATCTTGGAAGACTTAATTGTTCAAAAGTAATACTTAACTGGTTCTAAAGTTAGGAGTGCATTGGTCAGAAAGAAAAGTAGGAAGGAGGACATTCCAGGTGAAGGACAGGGCACGTGAAGGACAATGAAGGGCTATATTCAGGAACCTCTGGGTAATTTATTGTGGCTGTGATATATAAGGGTTATAAATGAGGCAGACAAGAGATAAAATTGAAAATATAAGGTGGAGTCAGATAATAAGATATGCATTCTGTGATAGTAAGGAGTCGGTTTGTCCCTAACACTGGGAGTCTGATGCAAGAATCTCTTCAGTTTGTGCCACTTAGACTACATTGTAAGATCCTGCCCTCCCACCCTCCAAAGTAAGGACTGAACTGTATCTTACAGGCAGTAGGAATCCTTGGCAGGTTTTTATTAGTGTGAAAACTCTAATTATAGCACTCTGGGAGCCAGAAAGGTGGGGAACATCTAGGAGGCTAATTCAGCAGTCAGATAATCAGTAGTTAGTAAAAACTGATTAAGTACCTGAGTTAGGGAAAGGTTGGATGTGATAGTGCACACCTTCAATCCCAGCACTCAGGAGGCAGAAGCAAGAGGATCATCACAAAGCCAGTCTGGTCTACATAGTGGAGTTCCAGGTCAGGACTCTATAGCTAGACTCTGTCTCACAATAAACAAGCAAACAAACAATTTTAAGATTTCGAGAGGTTTAGAAATATTTGGTAGTTGTCTTAGTGTTAAGTTCATGGCCGGGAAGACTTGAGCAAGGCATGGATTCTAATCTAGGCTTATTGTGATACAGTCCCATTCTAAAGCAAGAAGCAATTAAGTAAGAATTAAGAGAGGAAAGGGGTGAGCTCATTCTTTCATTCTCAGAAACATATTTGTAGTCTGCTAGAAAGTAGAAAACAGAAAACAGAATGCCGCTCTATGTGGTAATCATTATACTTGAAATGTTTCTCATAGGAAGAATTTTTAGGGTCTTATTTTTGTTTGTTTATTGTTGTTGTTTGTTTTTTATGCAATCTGACTGTGTTTACAAGGCATGTGTATGTCTGTAGTCCCAGCTCTTAGGAAGCTAAGGGAGGAGGATTGATGAAAATTCAAACCCAGCTTTGGCTATATTTTGACTCCCTGCTGAAAGAGAGAGAGAGAGAGAGAGAGAGAGAGAGAGAGAGAGAGAGAGAGAGACTGGGAGTCTTTGTCATTTAAGTGACATATTTAGGCTCTTTATTTTTTTCCCATTGGGGTATGAGTGACCATGCCCAGCTCCCACATGTTTCTTGTATTTGATACTTCCTGGAGTAGACACAGGTCGATTGAAAGCCATTTGACTCTTTTGTGTCTTACTTGTAGCCTCTCATAGGTGGAGTCAGGCCTGGGTTTACTCTAAGAATTATGTAATACAAAACCCCTTCTGAGTTCTCTGCCCAACATCCTATAAGCTGAATGTTTGCCGGAGTGGTCAATAGCCATGGACACTGCTCCCAACCTTGTGTATGTGCCCCGTCTAATCCCTTCCAGACCTTTCAGATGGTCCTTTCCTCAGAGTTAATATGTGGGTCATTTACTGGTGCATCAAATTCTCAAGGAGGACTTGGTGTTCTCTCTGCAGCTCTGACCTTGGGAGTCTGTCCTACAACCTCTAGCTGCCTTGGTCTTCCTGGACTCTCAGCTCTCTCTCTTCAACTTGATTGAGCATTCTGGGCTCTTCCTGGGTTTTCCCTCTGCACTGAGTCTTCTGTCAAAGTAGTGAGTGAAGACAAACTCATTTTACTTGTCTGTCTTCATTACTTAATGCTAATGATTTAAATTTTATTCAGTGGTTTAACTTTTATAACTGGGCAAACCAAGTTTGTTACTCCTCTTGGCCAGAAAGTCAAGGCCATGTGACCATCTAATTTACCCTGCTATTTCAAAATAGAAGCAACTAATTTCTTTTCTGGTTAAACAAAAACCCTTTAGTAACTCATTATTTAAGAAAAACCAGTAAAAATACAAAGAAAAATCAAAAGTAATCAGTAATCCCATCCTCTGGAATTGATGTTCAATAAGTGTTTATAAACTTTTTCTACTACACTCTGTTCATATATTCAACAAATTGTATTGCCCATAACTTTGGGTAGTAAACATATTAAGCATTTTAGTCAGAACACTTTCAATTAAGTTTGAGCAAACCCATTTGTGGATGTTCATTAGAATGTTCATTTATGGGGCTACAAAGATGATTCCATTGGTACAAACACAAAGATGTGAATTAGGATCCCAGAAAAGAATGGCAGCATATCTCCTAGCACTGGGGAGGTGGAGACAGGAGATTCCCTGGGGCTTCTGGACAGCCACTCTAGCCAAATTGGGAAGTCCCAGGGTCAGTTAGAGACCTTGTCTTAAAAAATAAGATGGAGGATCTGGCAAAATGGCTAAGCAGTGAAGATTCTTGCCACCAAGCTTGAGACCCACATGGTGAAAGGAAAGACTTGACTCTCATAAGTTGTCCTCTGACCACCACACTCATGCCATGGCACACATACATACACAAATAATCTCATGTGTGGTATGTGTATGTGTAATGTACATCCATGCACACATGTGCATACACATACACATGTAAATAAATAATTTATAAAAGAAAAATAAAATGAAGAGAGCAACTGAGGAAGATGCCCAGTGCTGACCTCTGGCCTCCAGGTATACACATGTGCATGTGGACAGGTACAAAAACACACACAATATCCACTTACGAATATCAATATATTTGGAATTTAAGTTGTTATTTTACTTTTATTTGCTTATGACAGAGTCTTTTTGAAAAAAAGATTTATTTATTATATGTGTATGAGCATTTTCCTGCATCTGTGTAAGTGTACTGCATGTGCCAGGTACCCAAGGATGCCAGAAAAGAGTATAGATCCCTGGGAATTAGAGTTGGTTGTGAACCAGTATGTGGATCCTGAGAACTGAACTCCAGTCTTCTGCAAGAACATCAAGTGTTCTTAACCACTGAGCCATCTCTCCAGTCACTGTTGCAGGGTCTTTATATCCCTGGCCGACCTGGAACTCACTGTGTAGACTGGGTTGGCCTTAAACTTGTGGCAATCCTCCTGCCTCTGCCTTCTGAATACTGGGATGACATGTAGGCCGCATACCTGGCTTAAGTGTATTTTTAGAAGATTTTTCTTCATGTGTTAATTTTATTCAGAAAAAAATCTTTGTAGTGGTTATAATACTCTGAATTATATCTATATTGTCTCTATGATATCTTCGAAATATCTCCCAAATATGCTGTTTCAGTAAGTGTCTCCTACATCTTTATCCTTTATCATTTAAAAATAAATGTAATGTGATATAATTAAGGTACACAACATGTTATAAGATACATATACTATGAAATAGCTGCTATAGTGCCTATTATCAGATCTCTGCACTGACAGAGCAATTTCCCAGTCCCTGGGATTGTTGAGGTTTTTTCCTATGCAGCTTTTAGATTGATATTATTCCATCTCTTTATTCTCTCTCTAGATATGATAGGTAAGAAACCATTGACAAGGCCATTGTCAAGGAGTTTTATAATTTCAAATCTTGGCATTTGGGTCTTTTGTCTATTTTGGGGTTGGTTTTTGTATACAGTATAAGATAAATGTGCAATATCAGTGCTTTTCATGTTGAAAGCCAGTTTTCCCAGAACCATGTTAAAGACCCTTATCCTTCCCCTAGTCTGGTGACACTTATTTAATCCTGTGTTTCAGCCCTTTTCTCCCATGTCTCACTTAGCAAAAATGCTGGCTGAGGACATTAGCAGCCTTGGTATTCCTGTTGTTAGATCATTCAAATTGTTAGTATTAAACATTTACTACTTTGTGCTCTCATTTCTCTCCAGAGGCTGTAAAAGTTTGCCTTTTGCTAAATATTTGCTACCATGTAAACTTTGACCTACACATACCCCTCTTTAAAAAAAAAAACAAAAACTTGGCTACCTGGCTACTATAACTACAGTGAATATAATAGTAAAGTTTTTTTTCTAGATAGGGTTTTTTGTTTTGTTTGGGGGGATTTTGTGTGTGTGTGTGTGTGTGTGTGTGTGTGTGTGTGTGTGTGTGTGTGTGCGAGTGTGGCTAGCTCTGTAAACCAGGCTGACCTCAAGCTCACCTACATCTGCCTGCCTCTACCTCCTGAGTACTGAGATTAAAGATGAGCACCACCATTGCTGGACTAGTACAAATATTTTTTATGAGGTTTTAACTTCATTTCCCTTAGGTATGTGCCCCAAAAAGGTTGAACTGAGGGGGTCACATGGTAGTTCTGGCTTTAATTACTTTAATAACTTTCCATGCTGTGTTCTATAGTGACTGTACATTCTTGTCAACATATACACAGGTTCTCTTTCTCTATACCCTCCCAACACAACTCATATTTCTGATAGTATCTGTCTTCACCGGTGTGAAGTGATATCTCATTATTGTTTGTAATTTTTTTTTTTACTCCTTTTACTCTTTAGCCTTTTTG